TTTACCCGCTGATTTCAACGGCGCTTATTTTATAGCGAGCGTAGAACTGTGTCCACCTGTCGCCGCCAATACATCCAACCCGTATACCCCATGGGTTCGGCATTCTGATTCTAGACAGAGGCACACTACAACCGTCTGGTCAAAAATGACTTAAGGTGAGCGGGTGGCAAAATGAATCGAATGGCAAGTAGAAGGCCTGTTCGTATGGTGGGTGGGAATAATGAAAGCCCGTGAAGCCGTTGTCCGCCTAGCTGAAGAGGTAGAAGTAGGATTCAATGCCACTAACGAAGCCTTAACCTTAATGAATAGACAATTACAAGAAACATCACGAATGACCCTACAAAATAGGCTTGCTTTAGATGCCATGTTAGTGCATAATGGAGGAGTATGCAAGTATTTAAACTTATCCACCGAATATTGCTGCATATCTATCCCGAATGTTACAGTTCCTTTAATGTCCCAACTCGAGTTAATTCGAAAAGCGGCTAAAGGCGCTAACGCCATAGCTAGTATCAGTAAAGGCTGGCTTGCAGACCTCTTTTCAGGATTTGGTTGGGACTTTTCTTCACTAGCCATGCGTATAATCGCTCCGCTGTTAACCCTGTTAATACCCTTATTAGGCATTTTACTGTGTGTTTGTATTGGTTGTTGTATTTTGAACACGGTTAAACGTAGAGTAATGACGCTGTCGACCTTCGTATACACCCAACTGTCTAATGTAGATGAAGGAGAAGTAGAACTTGAAGGCATTTGTTCTGGCATTTGGTCAAGGGGGCATGTCTGAGTAGAAAAGGTGACCAAACGCTCAGCCCACATGCCAGACCAAAGTAGAACACGAGAGCAGGTCATGTTCAGCGTGTGAAGAGCTCATGATCATGAGGCCGACCAGCTCGTGATCAGACAGCCTTAACAAATCAGGAGCTGCAGGAGAAGCGTGCCTGCCTGGCCAGCAGACACACTCTCTTAACAGTAAATCAGCAGCCTCCTCTGATTGGTTGAAGAGTTTATAAAAGGGACAGCGCGCTAAAGCACCGGGTCCCGGGTTCCACACAAGCCCTCAGATAGGACTGATCACCCTGTCCAGGAATCCGTGTCCCCATGGACGAATAGTCATACGAATAGTCATACGCATACGAATAGTCACACCCTGGCTATTATTTCACTGAATAGTGAGCTCTCCATCCGCACGTACATCGGAAAAAGCAATTGCTATCTCCTACCTATCATCTTTAACTACTGCTTCACCACTGTCGTTTTGTTGTGTAACCACTGTTGGAATCTTACTGTAAGTAAACGTTAAGTTCAATTTTACTATCTTCCAACTGAGTCAGTGTCCCTTTCATCCCCGGCCTGTCCGCAAGGCGGGTTGGTCATCCACCCGCCCCCTGGTTCAACTGGTAAACCGCCTGGTGAGTGTTGTGGTTACTAACAACCAAAGACTTAAAAAGGAAATGCACTGGAGATGACACATGATCAAGTAAGTAAATTTCCAAATATTGTCTGCACAAGGTCAGAACTGACAAAAGGAAAGGCAGACACATCACAGGCAACTCCCACTGCTAACTCTGGTTTTGAATCACACTTGGTTGTCCAATCACATGAAGACGACGCTCACGCAGGTAGTGAAAACTGTATCCTGCAATCCTTTTTTAATGTACAACTTCGGGAAAGGATCAAGACCTCAAGTGGCCCAGCTCAATTACTAATGACAACAAAACAAACACAGGGAAAGCTTAGCTTTCCTCCCTCGATCGTTTGATTATTTAGTAGAAATAAAAAGCAGGCTTCCCTGAAAAAGTCTAGTAATGCACTGCTGCTTTTTCTGTTTTACTAAAATCTGAGGAACGATGTGAAATGGGTAAAATGTAGCAAAAAAACACTGTTAAAGAGCATCTGCCTTATTAATCTTATCCTTCCCTGCCTGACCCACCTCCAACACAACCATCCAGTAACAAACAAAAGGAACAAAAATAATTGCATTTGTTTTCTTTCAGCTACTAAATGAATAACTGTACAGAGTTAATTACAGTAAGGGAAGATTTTGAAATGAACATAATTCAAAAAGACGTTTGTATTGGACAGCCTATTCTGTTGTAGGGGAATCTTAACAAAGAATCTGCTAAGGAGTAATGAAGCTTCTTTTTAGCTACACCAAGAGATGATGTTCTAACGGTATTTCAGAGTTCTTGGAAAAAGGATAGTAAACCCAGACTACTAGATACTACAGAAAGCTCACAAGCTTTGCTGAGCATCAAAGGTAAAGGCACTGCCCACAAGTTATCCATACTTTAATCCCCTGGAAGTTAGAGAAATTATTAAACACAATCATAGGTTTAATAAAAATAACTACAAGTGGACTGAAGACATATCCACCCCTTTTGTTATAGCTTCTTTTGTCTTTCTGATTTCATTTCCCAACTCTCCTTTCTTTGCTATATGACATCTTGATTTACATACTCCCCAGTCACCTCCTAGTTCCTTTTCTCCCTTTCTTGAATGCCTTGCTATCACCTTCCCTCTCACTCCTTTCCCTGTATTTTCTTCCTCCTTCCCTCTACCCTATATCAGACTTTTCCTTCCCTCCCCAATTTGTCTCCTTTCAATACAATTTTTAAAATGTGTATTGATCTTGCCGCACTGTTCTCTTCCGAATGAGACACATTACCTGACACCTATTACCCCACAGGACTTAAACCTATAGAACCAGCTAACAAAATACATGCCAAAGTTGAAGGTTCAAAAGGAAAGAGTTAATCATAACATTTCAGAGTTATACAAAAGTACAATGGACTTGCTAGGAGAAGAGCCCTGTGTCAGCCTGCACTGACATCATAAAAATTGAGGCTTACTTCTCAACCCATGCAACTCAATAAAAACAGTAGTAATGGTGGCGTATGCGTAGAGAGACTTACATTGACTTAGGCTGCTCTCCAGTGCTACCTCATGACAGGACAGTATTGTAATTTGATATTTTTATTTTATTGGACATAAAAGTTGATGGACCAGAATGAAGAGACTAGATGAAGCCACAGTGGCCATCGACTTGAAGCATTTGACTCCAAGAGAAAGGGCTAGTACTTGTTCATGACAACACAAAATACTAATTCACCTATCAGCAACACCTGCCCAAAAGCAAGCCAGACACAGAAAAGTTAATCTATTACTTTTACAATACTGAAGTCCAAAACGTTACTTAAAGTATAACAACTTTTTCCTTATTTCATACTAGAGGTTTTGGAATATGCCTTTGAGTAATTTGAACATGAGTAGCTTCAGAAGAAATTAATAGCTCTGAAATGCAAGTTATATGGAAATGCAATATGCACGCTGATGGTGGGGGAGGGAGGGAATTATTTTTTCAGATTTAGTACATATTACAACTTTTCAAAACTATTCAAACAAATAAACAGGTCACTCACAAGCCTGGGGAAGTCACCTATGCTTTAAAATCAACTGTTACAGACCTCAAATTAAGGATTTTGGCAATGCTTTTCTAGAGAGAGACAGATCTATCTACATCTCAGGCAGGATGCCAACATAATGCTACCAAAACTTCAAAAGGTTCACAACATGAATAGCCAGCCTCTGGCCAAAGTATTTTATGATACAACTTGCTGGATAGCACTAGACTGAATTATGGAAGAGCTTGCAAACAAAGAAGCAATGTGAAACAGTTGTGAAAGTTTAAAAGTCGTCAGAAAGGCAGGAAAGGAATCTTATATTCCTTAAAAATGTATCCTCCGTCAATGACAAAGAACCTACAAAAAGTGGCAATACAGTGGTTCTTTAAAATAAACTTAAAACAATCCATTTAATTTAAGTGCAGGTAAACATCACTAGTCGAAGTCAAGGCACATATCAGTTCAGTTTCTCCCTTCAGTTTAGTTAGTGGTCAAGGTACTAGTATAGTGTTCAGAAATCCATGTCTCTAGTCTAATTACAGAGATGGCAGAGCAAAACAACCGATGCATAAAGAAAGAAAGAGAAGAGATCATGCCAAAAATGTTTAGTCAATAGAAAAGTTAGTCATCAATGGTGGAAAACAGCCACAGAATGGGGTTTGCTAAATAAAGAGTTACGCAACTCACAAAGCCCCTCTTTGCAGCAGTGCACCAATTCCATGCTACTTCGCAGAATATCTCAATTCATTCAACCAAAATGAGAAACTATAGCTGTTTACCAATACTGGAGGGTAAAAGACTTGTGTTGCAATCTCCCCCCTTGACTCAGAACAGACAAGAACTGTCCCTTGTCAACACACTAGGTTTACTTGCTTCCTTGCCAAAGATTTGTTTGCCTCTCTTTTTTCTCCCCCTTCCCCCCCACACACAGAGGCACACACTTTGTGTACAAAATACACATGAAACCTTTTCAGGTTTGGAGTCAGATGCCTTGCTCAGTTAACATTACTGGTGGGGGAAAAAAAAAACAAAGAACAGCTACCACTGAAATGTAGGGCTTTTAGAGCTCCAAGCAGGAGCATGAACAAATAAGCATACAAGGTTCTTTGGGTAAATCTGATATCTTGTATTAGACCAACTCAAATAGTTGGAACAATTCTTCTTTGCAAGCTTTCAGGATAAATACCCTTCATCAGGCTGAGGAAGCATCTGCAGCTGGTGTGTGATCTTTCTGGATGGCTACAACAAGTATTGTACTGTACTTAAGTATGTGTAAGCGCGACACAAAAGTTTAAGAGAAGTTATTAATATCAGAAATTCCATCTTTATACAGTATGTATGCTAGTTAGATACAGAAGCAAATCAAAACTTGACTTCACTGGATAAAAAGTATTGGGTAAAATTAAGTCACTGGGGCAGCTGCCACCTTAGGACCAAGTCGTCCCCTGCCTGCTTACGATAAACCTCCACTTTGAAGAGTTCCCCCATTACTTACCTACTTGCTTACACCAGCAAAACAGAGTACATGCCCTTTTACCTGTGCATGCTGTACCACCTCTCCCTTTTACTTCTTAAAACATTGACAAACTTGTTTTTTACCTGAGAACTTTGCCCACCGCCTGCAGAACCATTTTGCAGCTTAATCCAGTTTTGGGACTCTGGGACAGTACGGGCCTTTCTCCGGAAAGGTTACAATGATCACCAACCATTGTACAGAGAGAAAATGGGGACGGGAAGGGAAAAAAGTTGGGGGAACGGCCAGCACAGACTCTCTTCCACTGTTCCAGCTTGCTTCTCCCCTCTGAAAACGAGTCCAACCACATTCAGTGAGTGTACACAGCTTACTTCATCCAGTCCTCCCTCCCTATTTTCCTCCACCAATAGGCAAACAGTAAGAGTGGAAAAAAAACCCACACACAAACCCTCAGCTGGAGAGACAAACAGCTGCTCCTTTTTACATACTCTGAGCCAGAGCCAAGTCTGAGGAGCCAGGGCCAATAAGGGAGCGTCTGAATTGCCCTTTTCAAACTGGCGCCGGCCGTGCACTAAGACAGGAGTAGTAGTGTGGGGGAAAAGTAAGTCTCTTTCAGCCAAGCTCTTAGCATGTTGTGTTGGGAATGATACTGCACTAACCCCTACAGAGGAAAACAAGCAGCACTTTCATATGCAGCTTCGTACCTTGCTACTTCTATTCTCAGCCTTAGCTGTGGCCATGGGTGGGTTGGAATAGACAGCAAACCCCATGTCTAATAACCTCATTTCAGCAAGTCCTCTTGCAAAGCTTTTCAATGACAAATTAGAACTAAGTGCAGAAATAATGGAGGGAGAAATATTACATGAAGAGATGAATCCAAACACAGGAAACAAAAGAATTAAAAACCACATCTGTGAAATAATAAAATACTTTTCATTTTACAAGACATGGAACAAGCAAGTTCAAATGCATGTGGAGTAGCTGTGGTCATCCTGAAAGCCTCCATAGCAAAGGCACAATTGCCCCGGTTGCCATTTAGGCATTTTGATATCAAAGTCAAGTCAGTTCAACACTGTAAAGGCAGCCAATACGCAAACAAGGCAATCTAGGATCAGAGGGTCTCTAGACAGGGAACAAACACACTGTTGTCTGCAGCTTGTGCACAAGCTAATAAAATAACCATGCTGGAAACTTGTTAGAAATGGGAATAATTAAGACCTATTGTCAGCAAGGTTGCGCGTTTCTCTCCAGAGACCTGCATGGCATACGCGAGCCACGGCTCTGCAAAGTTACATAAGTGAATTATATTGGTTCCACATCGGACGTATGATTTTCCATTGTAAAAACATGGTTGAAAGAATCCAGATCCTTAACTAATGAAGGAATCCTGTAGAAGTGTAGATAGAAGGAGGGGAAAAATAAGAAAAAAGTGGTCTCTCCCTCACATTTACAATATTCACTGGTCCAACTAACACTCCGTTCCATTTCAGACATCCATTAATACATTTTTAGGTGTATGCTGCATATCTGATCCCTTACCTTGGGCACACGCACATCCATTTAATGTATAGCTACAGATGCCAGATCAGATGCATACCTGCAACCTGGCAAGGCAGTGATTTACCTGATGGAAAGATAGTCAAGTCATAATACAAAATGAGGAGCTAAAATGAGTCGCATGGATCTAAAACCCTACATCATCATTCAGATTCTGACAAGAACAATTACTTCAAAAAACAAACAAACCCCAAACCCTCCCAAAGACTGGAAGTAAGAGGGTAACCTGCCACCAGTGTTTTTTCCACTTCACACAGCATCTCATTCAGCAACTCCATTCATTCAAAAGGAGCAGGCTGAAACAAGTTAGCAAATGCCAAGCTTTCCAGAAACAGAAACTGGTTTACTCTGGTAAGGATACATTCCTGCATGTATCCTTCTTTAACTAAACCAAGTCCTGATAATGCTATCCACGTGACCATCGCCTGCAGATCACTTGCTTTAAAACAAAGTCAGAAGGGACAGGAGCGGCTGTTAATGGTGTATATTCAGCAACCTAAGGCAGAGCTTTCCAAACTGTGTGCCGCGACACAGTGTGTCGGTGGCAGTGTGTAGGTGTGTCACGCGAAATGCAGAAAATTTTGTGGAAGGGCACCGCAGAGCTCCCTTACTCGTGTCTGCTTCCCTTGGCCCCTCCCCCGGAACTGAATTACTGTGTCGCGAAATGATGCATGTCTAAAAAGTGTGTCACCAACATGAAAAGTTTGGAAAGCTCTGACCTAAGGGGTCACCGCCATATAGGTGCACGAGAACACCTGTGGGGAGCCTGCTACTTTCATCATCCAAACACCCAAAAAGGTGCAAAATAACTGTTCTATGAAATACCTTCTATCCACAGAAGTCAGATTTGCAAATGCCAATCAAGTTGGTTGCAGCATCCTTCTGAGGTTGAGAAATAATATAGAGGAAGACAGTGTTGTCCCTGTTTTTCAGGGGATCCATCTGAGATGTTAAATAACTTCCCCACTTCTCCCAGGAGCCAGGCAAGAGATGAGAAGAGCCAAATTGCAACCCTGCATCTTAAGGACAAACCAGGCCTCTCTTGGAATAGCCTCATACCACCCAATCTTCTCCATAACTAACACAGGGCGCTGACAGATGTGGGAAGCCCCCCTCCCTTCCCCCACAAAACCAGCGCTTTACCAGAAAAGGAATCACATTAGTTTGATCCCCCTCCCAGTGTCTGTATAGATTGCATGTTTCAGCGGGGCCTTTTGGCATTTTTATAGAATAGCTGAATCAGCTACTATATAAAAAAGCCAAAAAGCCTCATGGAAGCTTGTGAGCTATACTGATGCTGGGTGAGCTGGGTTAAACTGATGCAACTGCTCTTCCAGGCATGGGATGTGCTTGGCGTACCAAGCTGAAAGTGGAGTGCTGTTCCCCCTGCACCCACGTCTGCAAGCATCCACAGACGTGTCACTAAGCCAACAACAAGAGTACAAGTAGAATGAGGCAGGTTACCTGCAACAGACCCATATGCTTTTTATTCACAAACAAAGTCCATACAGAAACCATTCAGGCCTCTTAAAACCTGGTTTAAAACTAGCATTTGACAAAAATCTTTTTATTGCACTAACAATAAGCAGTGAGGAGACAGCTGCTGTTTCCAAGGTAAATTAAAGGGGAGTCCATGGATCAAACCAAAATAAAGTGCTATGATAATACAATAGTTTTACCAAGAATGCTAGAATATTTATGATGCAGAGATGGAAGCCCTCAAGGGGGAAAAGGGGCCAGGAGGCTTCCCTGGCTGACCAGAGAAATCCAGGGCAGCCTAAGGGACAAAAGGGGATCACATAAAAAGTGGAAACAGGGAGAGATCACCAAAGATGAATATACCTCCTCTGCTCGTGCTTGTAGGGAGGCAGTTAGACGGGCCAAAGCTGACATGGAGCTGAGGATGGCAACCCAAGTAAAAGACAACAAGAAATTGTTTTTTAGATATATTGGGAGTAAAAGGAAGGCCCAGGGAGGAATAGGACCCCTGCTAAATGGGCAGAAACAATTGGTGACGGACAGAGGGGACAAGGCTGAACTCCTCAACGAGTTCTTTGCCTCAGTGTTCCTAAGCGAGGGGCACGACAAGTCTCTCACTGGGGTTGTAGAGAGGCAGCAGCAAGACGCCAGACTTCCATGTGTAGACCCTGAGATGGTGCAGAGTCATTTGGAAGAACTGGATGCCTTTAAGTCGGCAGGCCTGGATGAGCTCCATCCGAGGGTGCTGAAGGCACTGGCCGACATCATTGCAGAGCCACTGGCGGGAATATTTGAAAGCTCGTGGCGCACGGGCCAAGTCCCGGAGGACTGGAAAAGGGCCAACGTGGTCCCCGTTTTCTAAAAGGGGAGGAAGGAGGACCCGGGCAACTATAGGCCAGTCAGTCTCACCTCCATCCTTGGCAAAGTCTTTGAAAAAATTATCAAGGCTCACATTTGTGAGAGCCCGGCAGGACAAATTATGCTAAGGGGAAACCAGCACGGGTTCGTGGCAGGCAGATCGTGCCTGACCAATCTAGTTTCTTTTTATGACCAGGTTACGAAACGCCTGGACACAGGAGGAGGGGTGGATGTCGTATACTTAGACTTCAGGAAGGCCTTCGATACGGTATCCCACCCCATACTGGTGAACAAGTTAAGAGGCTGTGACTTGGATGACTACACAGTCCGGTGGGTGGCGAATTGGCTGGAGGGCCGCACCCAGAGAGCCGTGGTGGATGGGTCGGTTTCGACCTGGAAGGGTGGGGGAAGTGGGGTCCCACAGGGTTCGGTCCTTGGACCGATACTCTTTAATGTCTTCATCAGCGACTTGGACGAGGGAGTGAAGTGTACTCTGTCCAAGTTTGCAGATGACACAAAACTATGGGGAGATGTGGACATTCCGGAGGGCAGGGAACAGCTGCAAGCAGACCTGGACAGGTTGGACAAGTGGGCAGAAAACAACAGAATGCAGTTCAACAAGGAGAAATGCAAAGTGCTGCACCTAGGGAGGAAAAATGTCCAGCACACCTACAGCCTAGGGAATGACCTGCTGGGTGGCACGGAAGCAGAAAGGGATCTTGGAGTCCTAGTGGACTCCAAGATGAACATGAGTCGGCAGTGTGACGAAGCCATCAAAAAAGCCAATGGCACTTTATCGTGCATCAGCAGATGCATGACGAATAGGTCCAAGGAGGTGATACTTCCCCTCTATCGGGCGCTGGTCAGACCGCAGTTGGAGTACTGCGTGCAATTCTGGGCGCCGCAATTCAAGAGGGAAGCAGATAACCTGGAGAGGGTCCAGAGAAGGGCCACTCGTATGGTTAAGGGCCTACAGACCAAGCCCTACGAGGAGAGACTAGAGAAACTGGACCTTTTCAGCCTCCGCAAGAGAAGGTTGAGAGGCGACCTTGTGGCTGCCTATAAGTTCATCACGGGGGCACAGAAGGGAATTGGTGAGTATTTATTCACCAAGGCGCCCCCGGGGGTTACAAGAAATAATGGCCACAAGCTAGCAGAGAGCAGATTTAGATTGGACATTAGGAAGAACTTCTTCACAGTTCGAGTGGCCAAGGTCTGGAACGGGCTCCCAAGGGAGGTGGTGCTCTCCCCTACCCTGGGAGTCTTCAAGAGGAGGTTAGATGAGTATCTAGCTGGAGTCATCTAGACCCAGCACTATTTCCTGCTTATGCAGGGGGTCGGACTCGATCTATAGAGGTCCCTTCCGACCCTAACATCTATGAATCTATGAAACACCCCTACACAGAGGACGGCCTTTAGAGGCTGTCATTTGTCTCG